CTCTCTCTCTCTCTCTCTCTCTCTCTCTCTCTAGAATATAAATATCTTGTCTATATATGATCGTGTTTTGCACTGTAACCTCTAGAATGGGCATGTGGCTAGGGTAAGGTACTGTAGTAAAGAACGTGACCACCTCTAACGTTGCACGTATGGTCAAATCTCACAAGTTAAAGACAGAGAGAGGGGGAGGGGGCCATTCAACCATAACGGAAGCCTACCAAACCCAATAAAAAAAAGAGAGGAAGCAGTGCAGCTCAAAAGTGCAAAGTATCTAAGGCCAAACTTTTTAAGGCTTTCTTGGCCGCAATGTTTTGGTGGTCCCCTTTGGAGTTCGTAGGACCCCAAACATCACTTTCAAACCTACTACTCTCCTTCCCTCCATTCCATTCCTGAAGCCTCAAGGGATATAGCTTACTTAAGTAATGACTTCACCGTCCATACTTCACTACGGCTTTTCACACGTGAGAAAATCTCTCTCTCTCTCTCTCTTCAGGCCTATTTCCACGTGAACTCACCTCTCTCTCTCTCTTCAGGCCTATTTCCACGTGAACTCACCTCTCTCTCTCGCTCTACGTCAGCATAAGTTAGGCCTATTTCCAAGTGAACTCTCCCCCCCTCCTCTCTCTCTCTCTCTCATTTCGGCCAGATGATAAGGTAGCCTACTACTTTTTTGATAAAATAGTCTATTATCTTTTTAATAGTGCCGTTTGTATAGAGCCAAAGCTCTAAACAATCAATTTAGTATCGAGAAATGTGATTTTAATGCTGTAAATCTTTGATTAGCCTTCAAATATATATTTATTTTTAATTATAAAATTTAAAGTTTAAAAAATAGTGTAAATCAAACATATCTATAAAAACTTGAATAACTAAAAAATTGACAATCCAAAATGCCTTACAAGATGCACTGTTTCCAAAAACTTAAAATCCAATTTTTTTTCAAGTCCATGTATCTTGATGTCGAGATGATCAAATTGAGGATAATTGAATATCAAAACAACATGAAAGTTTTGAGGTTGGCTCTAATTTGATTTAGAGCCTAGGCTCTATATAAACTTTTCTCTTTTTTTAATTAGATTTAGATTGGTAAAAAGAAAATATTTTGATAGGACTACACCTATCAAAATAAATAGGACTTCACTTCAAACTCATGGATAATTACTGTTATGACTTTGGAACACCTTCAAATTGATCATTTCGATATTTATCATGTCATTATTAGGATTTCAAGTCCTATCGTCTATTTTTAAGCATGGACAAATCCACAACATTTGTTCCATTTTTTGAGCTACAAATTTCATAATAAGAAGTAGAAATTAATTTTAGAGCCATCATAGAGGTTTCCGATGATGTATGCATGTACACGAAAACATAGTAATATAGGGCTTCTATGGACGCAAGCACGCGCCCATATGCATATGCAAACCCACACAAAGAGACATGCATGCCCATACACAGTATATGTTCATGCACAGATTTGGAAAAAAGAAAGTAAAAAAAAGGACGAGTTCTCTGAACCAGATTAAAATCAATCTTAACATCTTCACCTCACACAACAAACTCAAGAATCATAAAATTTATTCATAGAAGGATTATAAACAAGCTATCAAATATATTGATACAGAAAATGGCAAACTAAATAACAAAGGCAAAAGATATAGAACACGTTATTTTTGTTCAATTTAATTAATGCATAGAATTTATTCATCGTGACAATAAACTGATTTCAGAACTTCCCTGAATTGATTTCTATTAAAAAAATGAAAAATAAAAAATTAATTGGGGGAAAACAGAGTTGCCAAACCTTGGTGTATTGTTATATGGATAGGAGGGCCGTATGCCATGATATCATTCTGGTTACATTTAAATGTTCCCTCCCCTCTGGCTAGTACTTCCCCATCGGAATCAATAATCCCTCCTTTCTCTGGTTCTGCAACACGCTGCCCTGGTTCTAAACAAAATGCCTTCACCTGTAATTAACCGTAAACAACAAAAGTTCATCAGATTTGATAGGAGAAGAACCATCTTTTCAAACCACGGTTTAATTTGTCCAAAGATTCCTTGGAGAAATAGAGAGACGGAACTAAATTTAGAAGAACCCCAACTTCATTAGAAATAATCACAATCTGCTGATCTGAAGTTTTACAATAGAGAAACAAAGGATTGGCACCTTGTGCATTAGTGGTACAGACTTGGGGAAGAATCCATATTCCGGGCTTCATTTGCATCATTTAAACATAGTCAATCTTGAAGATCACTCCTCTCAAGTTTAGTCTCTCTCTCTCTCGCACAAATGCAGAGATGCATGAACATCACAACTGAAAGGAATAAAACACCACTACAATTGTGGACTTCACAGCACACAAAAACCAACCTTTATGTATAATACATGCTCCGATTTAACATGCCCACCATCCTTCATTTTTGTCAGCATTGCCACAAGAGCTGCTCGCGGGCAGTCCTTGACTAAGATCAGGTCCAAATAACCATCCGAAAACTGCAAAATACAAAAACACAGAAGCAATATGAGTCATCTATGTCCTAGCTCAATAACAAATTAGTGTCAATATGGATATTTGATTACCTTCAGACATAGCCAACAAACTAACCCTCGTATCTTATTAAAAGCCAAAAGACTATTCCGAATTTATATCATAGGCATTAGGTCCAAATACGAAGAACTTCAAACAAAAGCCCAAATGGAAACACACACAGGAAAAGAGGTAAATGAATGAGGAACCATCATGAAGTTGGAGTTAAGTTTCCGAATAAGGTCACGGATCCCCACAGTATTTTATTTTAACATTAGTTCCCCATGATATTTGCAGAACGATACTGGATAGAATGCATAAATTCTATTAGGATCAGTCCAATCCATGATGTGGACTTGATCAGAGATATGCAACATAACAAAAAGGCCAAATGACAAGTAAAAACAAGAAACTTTGAAGCTCAAGTTATAACAAGCCCACCTTGGCAGCAGGTGCAGGCATAGTATCTTCAGTGGCCCATGGCACATTGTGAAGCCAAACTGAAATAAATGGCCCTCCTATTGTCCTCCACGCCCAATTTTGCGAAGCTACTGACGGTCCAGGATAGCCAGACTCTGTTCTAGGATCATTATCATGGTCACCATGCATGCTCCTAAGTAAGTTGTTTGAAACATCATTGTTGTCAACAGGATCCCCAACAGCTTCATGGCCAGGTGCAGGAACAAAATAGATGCATCCATTGTATTTCCTCAAGCACATTATTCGCAAGATACCCTAGTGCAACATAAGGGCCAAAATAAACTATCAAAAACGCATTCACACTTACCGGACCAGTCAAAACAGGGAATGCAATCATAAGTTTTACTTTCATTAGGCTCAAACTTCTCTTTGAATCTATGAAGGGAGGTGCGGAGACCCACCCTATGTCTCCTACCTCCTCTTTATGCCCCCCCCCCCCCATCCCGCGCTCTCTCTCTCACACACACACATACACACAGTCACAGATGGGGGCAATGGGCCTAGTGTACATGGGAAAAGCAAGAAGGAGCATATCAAGGATAACGGGTCTTCTTTTTTGTTTCATTTTTTTTTTTTGAACAAAATGATGGTTTTCTAAGATTTTGATACTTGTTCTGGTTGTGTAATTTGTAAACACGCATCATTCGGGTAGATGTGCCTTATACTGAGGCCATACAAATGACCAATGAAATTTAGTAATACAGATAGATCAATTACTAAAAATGACTCCAAGAACCCAATTTATGATGAATATTTAGACAAAAAAATGCATGCATGGTTTTATTCTGATTCAAGGGTACAAGCACTCTCCACAACTAAGGCAATTATCCAATGAGCAAGCCTCTTTCAGGAAAAACAAAATTTCCTTGTATACTTAAAATAAGGAACTGAATCATTTGAAAGGGCCAATCTGAAATATAACAGTGTAAAAACTGTTGAGCATACAGTGCAGTAAATATCTAAGAAATGTTTCTTCATTCCAACTAGAGAGTAAAATGATCATGTTCCATTCTACAATCCATAGTATATTCCTCAAGCTGACGTAACTAGTACTTGCATATGGTAGCATACTGTAATTGATGTGATATGATACTGATCATACACTTGTGAATATGAGATGATGTAAATATTACAATAACTATAATGTTATGCATGATTATGTAAAGGGTAAGCTTTCTATGCTTTCCCTACAGCATAAAACTTCTATACTTCCCCCTATCCAACCGTCCATTCTAAATGGATGGCATAGATAATCCCAATCACATTTAATTGTTTTTATACAAAACATTTTGACACCAAAATTTGGGCGTCCAATCCTCTCTTGAACTCGAACCTATAAAAAATATATAAAAAAATATTCTCAATAAAATAAAATGACTAAAATGCCCCCTGAAAGTTTCAGGGGTATTTTGGTTATTGTCTTTTATCAAAAATAGTTTTTAAATATTTCATTTAGATGCACCCCATTGAGGTGCTGGCACGTACCAAATTTCACATTCATTTAATTAGTAGAAAAAAATTAAAAATAAAATACTCTGGAGGCGTCAGATCTAATATTAAATGGTTAGTAGCTCACTTGATGTAAATTGGACGTCTGGATGAAGGGGGGAATATATATATTTTTATGTTGTAGCATAGAAACCTTTCCCTTATGTAAATATCTAAGAAGGGGTTATACCCACTTTTTTACCTTATTCTCACTTTGTTAGCCATCATAATCATCCTTACATTTCATTACACCCTCCAAGAAATAAGAAGGTTGAAGATGAACTTCGATTGTAGTTGTACAGATGCTGTTACTAGAAAAGTGAGTGTAAAAATTAGCCCCCTATCTAAAATTATGATATGCTTTTACTTAAAAATATATAATATGATATACATATTATGAATATTCCATTAATATTGTATGAACTATTTTGTAGACCATATGCACTGATGTGCTAGTTGGAAGCAGTTTGAAAAGATATGGGGACTTATAGCCTCACTAAGGATATGACCTTTAACAGAGCACAATGGAGAACCAGGATTCATGTAGCCAACCCCAATTAATTGGGAAAAAGCTAAAATGATGATGATGATGATGCGCTTATGTGCTAGATAAGATACTTTTATCCATATGGGTGTCATAGATTTTGGAAAATGATGAGGACCATCCCAGCTCTTTGTATGCATATTTGTTTTGTCTCCCTATCATGGCATTTGTTCTCATTTGAAAGAATGAAAGAAAATAAAGGCTCAATAGTAAAATTATTCAGTTTTGAAAAGCCCCTAGAGAACAAGGACTTGGCCAAGTCACTCAGCTCCTTGCCGCGCCAAGTACTCGGGTAAAACTCAGGGCTATATGAAAATAAAAGAATCACAAAATTATGTTATTGTAATATCAATGTATAGATATTTTGAATTTTATTTTTGTGATGATTTGCGAGTGCTTCTTTTTTTTAGATGAAATTTTGTGAGTGCTTCTTGTCATATGACCTATTTTTTTGTCTTCCTCCGTTTTTGTATTTTCTGAAAGGTCTCCAACTATAAACCATTTTTTCTAAATCCACGTTTTATATATTTTTTCCATCTTATTTGGACTTTTAGTGTTGTTTTTAGTTACTTTGATTTTTATCATTATTTTTATTTCTAATAATTCTTTTTATTTTTTTGTTTTTTAGGGGTTTTTTTTGCGGCTACACCACTCGGATCGCCCAATTTACTGAGCTCCGGCAGGCCCGATCCCCAAGCCCGAGCTGAGTTCCTGATCATTGCTATAGAAACCACATAGATGAAAAGTCGAGACCTTGAAAAGGTCTGCTAGGATTTATTAACTACAAATTGAGCATACATATCCAGAATTATTTCGAGTATTATCGACACCTTCCAAATAAGATTAGAATAAGTAAATCATAAAGTTTTAAGAAACATACATAGAAATCAATGCGAACACTCCCCATCCATCTATAGATCTCAGATTCAATATCAATATCTGCAATAAGACCTGCAAGGGTCCACTAGAATATGTTAGTAGGCCTAGATGGTAATAACCAGTTAGCACTTCATAGATTAAAAATGCAGTGGATGGCTACTCTTAAGCACCTTGCTTGAAAGAGAAACAATTTACACATCCAAAGGTCAAGTAACTAAAAAAGTACGAAAGTTTATTAAGGAAACTATATACATACCCCATGCAAGCATTAATACACTGAAAAACCTTGTCTTTCCTTGCGAGATAGTTGCCACATCAAGTGGTTGCTTATGGCCTGAGAAAGAACCATGTGAAAATGAATAACTAATTACAAGAGCAGATCCACCAAAGGGAAGAGAAATGCATCACAGATGTGGCAGATCTTTTCCATGGAAATAATTGATGTGTCAGAACTAAACAAGCCACGTGATGAGTAAAAGGATGACCTCGGATTACTGCAAAAATTGCATTTGCTGCCACACAAGGATCCTCAACTGAAGCCATCAGTGACTTGGCCATGCCATTTCCTGTGCCTGAATTACAATAGCGATGTGTTAGGTTCCTCCCTATGGACTAGTCCTTTTGTAAGCCTGTTTGTCAGGCCTATGTGAGATAGCCCTTGGCACCACACTTCTTCTGCTATACGTTTTGCACCAGATTTCACTTTATAATGAATTCAATCTATTATAAAATGTGGTTTACTTGAAACCCATTACTACAGCATCCATCTAAATTATTAAGTTTCAGTTTTTTTTATTGTCTCCTAGTTTATTGTTCAAGAAATTGAGAACCAGTCGATCGTTTAGAAGCAGGAAAACATTTCAGGTAACAATAAAGGCACAGAAACAAGTTACAAGATGGGGAGGCAGAGAAAACAAAATAACAACAGATATCCCGGCCATGCGAAACCTTGAAATTAAGACTCAAATTATGGACAAAATGTAGATACACGCAGAGACAATTGGCTAGAAAGAGTGGACTTTAACCCTTAAATCAGAAAGCTTTTTCTCCCCTGCTCATGGTGCTGCCTTTTCAGAATCTTCTTAGCTATTTTGTCCATTTAATTAACTTTTCTCATCAATGTTTAAGACAACCATAATTCTTTCTCAAAAGAAAATTGGAGTAGATACATACAACTAAAACAAGACCAAGATAAACAAAATGGAAGAAGATAAAGTACGGTACAAGATTTTATGGCAATACTCGAATAGTATACCTGCTGGAATTACCCCAAGAGGCATTTTAATTGCAGAATCCCAGTCTGTTCTTTGCAGCAGTCCATTCACTACCTACTACATATTTCACCATATATACCCAAGAGATATTAAGGACGGTAAGTAAAATT